CCAATTAGGCCTCCTGCAAGTCCTAGGAGACACAGTCCAAGGTGTCTGGCTGTCCTTGTTCCTCGGGCCAAGCAGCCAGGAGCCGTCTGACATCTCACTAGAATGCTGTAGTCTTCTTTTTACCACCCAGGGATGGCAGCAGGAACCTTGGGAGTAGCAAGAAAGTGCCGGGAGCCTTCCTGAATTCCACAGCACCACGTGTCTTCCGCGAGAACCTTCCCAAGACACCACAAGCTCTAATCTTCCGATGGCAGAAACAGAAGCTATTTGGTGCCTAAAGGTGGAACTCATATTGGAAGCAGAATACTGAGACTCAGCTGGAGAAATAGCACGTGCTGCAAAATTCACGTGAAAGAGATGAGAAGGGGCTTCTTCATCATGTCCCCTCGAGGTCAGTGAGGTAGGGAAAGGGATGGTGTTAACACCCACTTTACACACAAAGAAACTGAGGCTCACAAGCAAGCTGGCAGAGACATAGAGAGGATGACGGTAAAGCATGGGTCTTAATTCTCAGCTGCCACCTATCAGACCCAAATTCTCCAGAATTTATTCAATTTTCCATTTAATTCCCATAGAAAATAATGTCTGGCATGTGTTCCTGGAGGTGACAACCTTAATATCAAAGGGAAAAGAACGGTAGAGCCCCTGCCTGAGCTCCCTTGGTACTTTAAAGAGAGGAAAAAATATTCTGTGTGTCCACGTGCAATTTCTCCACAAGGTTCACTTTGCCAGTCTGCGACCATGAGTGTCTGGATGTCTGCAAGGACTCCCATTCCTCCTGGCACCTTAACACTCAGCTACTCAAAGGGCTCTGTCTGTCAGGGTGAGGCGCCCGGCTGGGGGAGGGCACTTCCCTCCAGGATGAGGCCACCAGGCTTCTGCACTCGGCCAGTGAGGTGTGAATGGGGTTCTGCCACCATTCTCTCAGCTGGGCTGTCTGAGGCTGGATATGTGTGCGTGCAAAGGAGGAGGAGGCAGGGTCAGAGCCTGCGCACATGCGGCACAGGAGGTCCTGGGCTTCAGGTGCAGCTGGGAGAACAGCAAGAACATAGTGACACCCAGGCTTGTCCTCAAACGCCCTAGCGGGATCCCAAGATGCCAGGAACACCTCTTTGGTTTGGGGCACCGAGCCTCAAGCTTTCTTACTTATAAAACAGGAATAGTATTAGTACCCACGCAGCGATTAGGACGACTAAATTGGAGAAAGGGTAAAAAACACCTAGCACAGTGCCTAGTGACGGGGAGTGCTTGAGATTGTCAGTGTTCGTCTGAATTGACAGAATTGACTCATCTAGAGTCACCCGAGAGATGGGTATGTCGGTAGGGAGTATCAAAATTATGTTAATTGATGTGAGAAGACCCATCTTAATTGTGGGAGGGACCATTCCCTAGACTGTTTAATGTGGAGAGAACAAGCTGGGTGGTAAATGCTCTCTCTCTAACTACGGGTTCCATATAACCATGTTCCTCAAGTTCCTGCCTCTGAGATCCCCCTTGGTGAAGGACTCAGCCTGGAACTCTGAGCCGTAATAAACCAGTTCTTTCTTAAGTGGCTTTTGTTAGAGATATCAGTCCATCTATAAATGTTGTTCATGTAACACTGGGGACAGGATCTGGTCCTCCGAGAGTCCCCAGTAGATCCTTGCGCATCTTTACTCTTCTGTTTCATCCACACTGCCCAGCATCTCGTCATGCCGAACACAGAAGGCTTGGGTAGGAAGACAGCTCCTGCTCCCCTCCCAGCCCAGCCTCTTGTCTGGACTCCTCAAGCAGGTGTGTAGATCTTCTGCAGCTTCCTCACCTGGAAAACAGCCCCTGGTAGGTCTACTGGGAAGTGCCGGTGAGCAATGCTATGTACTGATAGTGCCTATAACTTCTTAGGTGTAACCACTACCGCCTGGTTTCTAAGGCAAACTAGTGTGGCTACTGGGATTAAAGGTGTGAGTCACCACTGCCTGGTCTGCAAGGCTGACCAGTGGGCTGTTTTATCCTCTGATCTTCAGGCAAGCTTTATTTATTAAAATATAAGTGAAATATCGCCACACCTGTCACTAAACCATGCCTCCAGTAGTGTTGCCAGAGGTTCTCCAGTGACCCTTGCCCTGGCTAGGTTCACCTCTACAAGCTGCACCTCAAAGTGTTCAGCCATGAATCCTTGCAGCATGGCTCAAAGGGACAGCATCTCCCTACTGGTTCTCTCCAGGGACAGGCTGCCAAGCTGCCTTCTAAATATTTGTGTTTACACCTGCAGACTAATGCTGGTTCTCAGCCCTGGCCAGAAAAGCTCCATTTTTGCAGAAGACGCCACTTAATGCAAAGATTAATATCTGGTCTAAGTGACTGATGAGCATTCATCCCTAATTGGGGCATCTATATCATTCCCACATCAAGGCCTGGGAGTGTCCCAGAGGGAAGGGCAGATAGAACTGAAGACTGGGGGGGGGGGCTGTCATGAAACATTGCCATCCAGACACGACATTACTGTAACCATGAACACACAGCAGCCTTGGAGACTTGGGTAATATTGGACCCTGCCGCATTCCATCGTAGAGAGAAGAGGTGCCCATAAGACCCCGCTCTTTCCTGAGGGGCTGATGACTGCTAATGGTTGCCATAAGGGGTCGTGTCATTTTCTCCAAGGGTATTGTCACTGAGGGACTAGGTGGGAAGAAAATTAAGAAAAAATACAATAAAAGAAAGGCAAGGTCCCTTCTGCATTGTTCTAGGCATTTCGCAGGTGGAACTGAGGGAGCCCGCGGGTTGAAATAATCTGCAAGCTGCGCTCCCAGAAAAGGCATGGGTTCCCGCAACACCCTCTGCTTGCAAGGAAACCTCATGAGATAGATTGGCCCTGGCCCAGGAAAGGGAAGACAGCTTACAGGGCTCAGCCTGAGAAGGGTCAGGAAGGGGACAGCAGCGTGTCTGTGGGGATGGGGATGGCCCAGACAGTAAGTGCCCACCTCATTATCATCTCAAAAGGGAAGGAAGGAGCTGTGGGAGCTAGCTTCTTCTCTTTTCACAACCTCCTCCCCGCTAGAGATCTTCACACAAAGGAGGAGGAGCTGGGAAGAAGCTGGACCTGGAGGCAGCCGGCCAGGAGACGCGGAACTATGGGACTAGCCCGCCACCTGGTGGCCACTTTTGGTAGTTGCGGCCAGGCATTTTTGGAGAACTCTGTAGGCAGGATTGAGAATCTTCTGGTGTCTGGAAACAGTTTCCCTACGTAGCCAGTGCTGGCCTTGAACTCACAATCCTCCTAACCCCAGCGTCCTGAGTGCACGGATTTCAGGAGTGCACCACCACAACCAGCAAGACCCATTTTAGGCACCCAGTGAACATCAGTTTGGAGATGACTGGGTAATACTGGGTGGTTAGAAAGACTCAAGAAAAGAGTTCAAAGGAGAAGCTGATGGGTCTGTGCTGGGAAGTTTCTCAGTCACAAATATTCAATGACCGTGGAACCAACTCCTAGGCGAGCCCACGAACATCAGTTTCTTTTCCCCACCAAAGGGCAAGAAGGACGCCAGAAACCAAACGCTGTTGTTCCAATTAAAGGGTGAGCAAGTGATAGATGTTTAGACACACCGAGAGACTACTTAGGCCAAAAGTGTATCTCCAGCAAGGGGGCAGCACCTAAGATTTATACACTCCTCATTCCTGTAGATTAAGGAGATTGATGACCAAAAGACAAAATGTAAACGCTACTTGGATGGGTCCCTGCCTTGTTCACTGTGCCGTGCCACAGTACCACATGTTCTATGGGTAGACATAGAGCAGTAAATCTGAGGCAATCAACCATAGGCTAATCAAGAAGGCATGGCCAACAGGAAACGGGCACAGGGGGATAAACCCTGCCCTTTCTGCACAATACTGGGGATAAAGACACAAGCCAAGAATGCTTGGAAGGTGCTGCTGCCATGATTGGTGTCGTGCAGAGAGGCCACAGTCCTCTATAATAGCAAGCATATATATTTAAATGACATTGCTGGGTACTTTTATATTAACTTAGGCATTACCGACTTCCATAAAGCCCCTTTATGAGGTAGGTACTGCATTTAGGCACAGCAAGTTACAAGAGCCACACAGCTGCAAGAGGGCTTGGGGGACAGGACAGGAACTCTGCCTAGCTGTTACCACACCATGGTACAGGATCTCCATTATTAAACTCCATTTCCAGACAGGAAGCAACTTTCTTAGGTAAGACAGCCAGTGAAGAATAAGGCCAGATGTCTGGTTAGGGGCCGTGGAGACGGCTCAGTGGATATACTGTTTGACTTGTAAGCAGGGGTACTGGAGTTCAGATCCCTGAATCCATGTACAAGCCTGGCAGGCTGGTGGCAACCTGTAATCCCAGCCCTTGGAAGGCAGAGTCAGGGAATCCCAGGGTGGCAGGGGCGGGTGATGGATGGGGTGGGGGAGGTAAACTGGTTAGCTCATCCAGCAAGGGTCAGTAAGCTCCCGGTTGACTGAGAGTTCCTGCCTCTAAACAAAGTGGAGACCGGTCCAGGAAGACACTTGAAGTCAACTTCAGGCCTCTACACAGAGCATATTTTTTTAATACACAAACATGAACCCACACACACAAGGACACACAAGCACACACACCACACAGATAGATTTATATAAAAAGAAGTTGGTCTAAATAGCAACTTGAGAACTTTGCTTGTTCAGAAAGGTCATATGGTTCCCATGCTGTGTTTCTAGAACACTCGCAGCACCCATACCAACCACTTTAAGATGTTTAAAGTATGCACACAGAACTTCCCAGACCTGGGGTCTCTGTTTATTTCAGAGCTGTTAAATGTGGGGTTTGCAGGTGGGGCTCCGTTCATATAAGGTCCCTAGAGAAAAAGGCACACAGCTTCTCTTTGGTGAACCCCTCCTTCTCCAGCTAGCCTCAGAAACCATATAAGCCTTTTATAGCACTTGATTTTCTCTCTATTCTGTCCTCCTGACAGGTGAGACAGCCCCATGAGGGCTCCATCCCTGGAGCTGCTTACCAGTCTGTGTGGGCATCGTCGATCACCAACAAGATCCTGGGTCTCTGAACCACGGGTGTGACAGGAGTTAGTGATTCCATTAACCCCGAGGGGGTCTGTGGGGTCTGTTTCACGGCACTGGAGAAGGAGCTGAACAGGCTGGATCCTGGAGAAGAGAAGGAGGCAGCCAGGGGCTGGGGGTGCCTCCTCTCAGTGGCCGGGGATGCTGGGGAGCTACTGGAGCTTTCTGGGCGCTGCAGGTCTGGCATGTAGCCATTGGGCAGGTTGGCCACAAAGCTGCTGTCAGACAGACGCCTCCGGAGGAAGTTCATGGCTGCGATAGACGGGAAGCCTCCGTCCACACAGGGGAACTAGGTGAGGTTCAAGGTGCAAGTGGCCAGCAACAGGGAGCAGGAGGTGTGGGGTCAGAGGAGCTCAGAGGTTCTACACACCAGAAGTGGGCTTCCCAGAATTCTGTTTACCTGTTGGAAACAATCCAGTAAGCACATTAGTGGAACCAAACGCCTCCCCTTTAAAAGCAAACAGATAAAGAGCATTTCCATGTTTCCGGCCCACTGCTGGTGGCTTTGCAAGCTGGGACACACTTTTAGAGACTATTTGGCAATATGCCTTAAAAGTATACAACTTCCAATTTCAGGAATTCTACCCTAAGAAATATAATCTCAGTAACAGGTAAAACCCTCATGCATACATAGACATATCACAGCCTTACCAACACTTTAAAATACTGAGAAGCCACTCAGCATTCAGTCACAGGGTGACACAGCCACTCAGTGGACTGTTTGTCTATTCAAAGAGGGTTCAGATGGAGCATCTTTAGTAACAATACTGTTTCGTATTGTAAACTTAAACACGTCAAGCCTGCGCTCGCTAGCCCATGCCAGCAGCATTCACAGCTATACTGGAGGCAGAGACAGGTAGATCAATAGTTCAAGGTCTGCCTGGGCTATAATGAGTCCAAGGCCAGCCTGAATAACTTAGTAAAAGTCTCTCTCAGAACTAAATGACAAATAAAGATATAAAAATGTTTAAATGGCTGGGGCTATAGTTCAGTGGAGAGGGGCCTAGCATGCAGCAAACTCTGAGTTGCATCCCAGCAACTGAAAAAGAAATAATCATAATACAAAATTACATGTATAGAATAACTACAGCCATATAAAAGTATCACAAATTGGAAATTATAAATAAATCACAGCAGTGAATATATTTTGGTAACATATGTTATTTGACCTTTTTCTATTTATGTCTTCCAAATGTTCTTGAATGTATAATGTTGAAGATTGAGATGCCCCCCCCCCATTAAGTTCATGTGTTGAAGATCTGATCTCCAGTGAGAAGAGATCTGGAGATGAGGCCTTTGGGGGGTGACTGGAATTGGGTAAGCGTTGATGATGGAGCCACGGAATGGGAGTAGATCTCTTTTTATGAGGGACACACTCTACGCCTAGAAAGAACACAAATAAAGACAGTCATCTACAAGCTAGGAGGTGGCCCTCACCAGACCCCACCAGGCTACATCCTACTGTCAGACGTCCGGATTGTGAGAAAATAAATTCCTGCTGTTTAAGCCATATGGTCTGTGGCGTTTTGTTATGGTAACTGAAACAGACTACGCACACACACAAATTTCTGGAAATCATTTATTCCATTTGTTTACTGTTGGATTCAGTGTGAAAGTGTGTGTATTTGTGTGTGTGTGTGTGTGTGTGTGTGTGTGTGTGTGTGTACTTGCACTCCGTGGGAGCCAGAGAACAATGTGCAGGCAGGTATGCGTTCTCTCCTTCCACTCTGTGGGACTGGAGACAGAACTCATGTGCCTTTACTGTCTGAGCTCGAGCCATCTCACCAACCCAAGAATAATTTTTAAAACTTCAATGTTTATTTGAGATTGAGAATAAGGGCTACTTAAGCCACAAAACTGAACTATATGTTTCTGTCATATTTTTACATGTTATTATTGTAAATTTTACTTTAAGGAAAACTTGAAGTCTTTACAGTCCAATTCTTTGTTAAATAATAAGGTGGGGGTGGTGTTGGCTTGCTTCTGCCACCGCAGAAAGTTCCCCTGTGCCCCTTTGTGGTCAAGCCACACCTCCTCAAGGCACTAGTGTACACTGCTGTGCCTGGATTTTTACCTGGGAGCTAGAGACCACAATTCTGCTCTTCACATTTCCGTGGGAAGAACCTTACTGATGACGCCACCTCTGTAGCCCTGAGACTAACTTTATGTCTCAGACCCATCTCAGTGATGTTCTGTTGCACTTGACAAAAACATATATTTAAAAATACTTCCCATTGTTTTGTGTCAGGTTCCTCAGAGAGGCCTCTCTCCCTGTAGTGTCTTAAGTCGGGTCTATTAAAGAATGCCACCCCAATCAGCAACTGTCAGCAAGAATGAGAAACAGAATTGGTCTGAGGGAGGGGTGGGTATGTGGTGCAGTTTCAGCAAAGCCTTGGCTGATCCTCTTGAGAGAAACTGAAACATCTCCTGACTCCCCACACTCCTCCCTCTGTTTGTACGCTGCCCATTAAACCATTACACCCACAGCTCTCTGCCTTAGCTGGAGCTGCTCTGGGCCAAGCTTTCTGTTTTACCTGGGCAGATGTGGGTGGCTACCTCCCCTTAAGGCAGGGACTCACTTCTATAGTGTATCTACTTTTTGTTTCTTTCTAGCAACATCAAGCATTTTCTTTGAAACATTTGTGCAAAGTTCATGATTACCATCTGTGAAGAGGCTAACCCTAACAAGCTACTGGTCACTCCTGAAATTCAACTGCCTTTCTTTTTAAATTACCGGATGAAAAGTTTGTCAAATACTTCAGTTGAAGAGACCGTGCAGTTTATTTAACAATCTCTTTTGGGGGAACTCTGGTCTACCTTACACTGGTAGGAATTCAACCATTACCACCAAACTTGCCTCCTCTAAACTTTTCTGTCTGCTGGAAAGCCCTCTTTTTATTCTGAGTTAGAGCCTCACTATGTAACCCAGCCTGAGCTTGAACTCTCAAACACCCACCCTCAGCTTCCCAAGTAACCAAGTTTACACGAGTGTCCCTCCAGGCATGCCTCCTTATAAACTTCTGATCAACCCCAAGTACAGGGGTTCTCTCGTAACCCTTACTACTACAGCCCCAGGAAGATTTAGATCTGTCAAAGACAATGTAACAGATGAAGCAGTAGTTATCTATGGCTTGAAGTCTGTGCTAATAAAGACCTTGGAGTGACCTTGTTGAGAGTAAGGTATCATAAAACAGAATAACTGGAAAGTCCTATATGAAGAAGTGACTTTTTTTCATAACAGTATTTTTCTGGCAGATGATGTGATTTTTTGATACATATTTTCACTATGGGATGATCAAATTATGTAAACAAACAAAACTATCTCAGGTACTTAGAATTTTGGGGTGGTGAAAGCATTTAAAATACCCTTTGGCAGTTTGAAAATATGAGACATGTTCTTTAATATTAAACATCTGTAGTCCTTCAACGGGCAGCTGAAGCTCATTCTTGCCAGTTTCAACTCTGATCAACATCACCCAGTCTCAATCCACATCTTTCCTCTACTTCTCAGAGCCAGGGTTGGATGCTTTGAACTCTTAGATGCCCCACTTGAGGCCATATAGTCTGTGTTCTTCTGCACCCTGCTTACTTGCCTTAATATAGCATCCTCCAGGTTCATCCCTACTGAAAGAAACAGGAGTTCCCTCTTTTTTAATGACCTAATAGTATTTCATTATCACCAACACCACACCCTCTGACAATGAAAGCAGGTTGATATCATACCTTGCTCATTGTTCATAATGCTGAAATGAACACAGGAGAGTCACTATGTCTAGCTCTTTGCCAAGGTTTCAGTTTCTTTGGCTATGCACCCAGAAGTGAGACTGCTGAACCAAACGATAATTCTATTTCTTGTTTCCTGAGACGCCCCAACACTGTTTTCCATTAATGACTACATGAATTTACATTCTCATTCACAGGATACAAGTCTCCTTTTTCCATGCATTTAATTTTTAAAATTATATTTATGCATGCACATGCCACAACATGTGTGTAGAGGTTAGAGGACAACTTGCAGAAGTCAGTTCTTGCCCTCTACCGTGTGGGTCCCAAGTATTTAACTCAAGCCACCAAACTTAGCGCCTTTACCCACTGAGCAATGTTGCTGGCCTCAGCACGCTTTCATATTGCTTATAATAAACATTCTATCACATGTGAGGTGTCTCATTGCACCCATTTGCATACCCCAGATGATGAGAATTGGTCTTTGGTCATCTTTGGGTCTTCTTTTGAGAGATGTATATTCAGGTACTTTTTATATTTTTAGAATAGGTTATTTGTTTTCTTGCTGTTGAATTGAGATCTTATACATTTTTGGATGCTAGCCTCTTAACAGATAGATGTTTATAAATTCTTAGAAACCTTGACTGTAAATGCCCAGCTTTACTCCTGGGCTCTCTGCCCTTTTCCAGATCAATCTCCATTGTTGCTACACTTTATAAACATTTACTTTTTCCCATTTTATGCATATGAGTGTTTTGCTTGCATATATGTACCACAGGTGCCTGGTGCTCACAGAGGCCAGAAGAAGGCATCAGATCCTAGTAACTGTAGCTACAGTTGGTAGTGAGCCATCACGTGGTGCTAGGAACTGAATCCAGGTCCTCTGCAAGAGTAGCCAATATTCTTGACCTCTGTGCCATCTGTTGGGAACTATGTCATACACTTTTAATTATTTTGCTTTGTAATAGATTTTGGAGTCAGGTAAAAGACAACGCCTTCTCCTTTCTTTTTTTTTTCATTTTTACTTATTTATTATTTTTCAGAGATGAAGATCAATGCCTGTGACCTGTCAAGGTAAGAAGATGTGTTACCTCCAAACAACAAGAATTATACAAAAATTTCCAGAAGTCTCAGAAATTGGTGGTGATAGGAAAAAGAAGTAGAACTCTTCACCTCACACTCGCTCCTGTCCCTGCGGTCATCGGCGTCCCTCCTCCACTCCGGGAGACCTGTCCTCTGTCCTCTGGGAGAGGTAAAAACAAGGAGTCACTGACATCTCTATACCAAGATAAGGTGAGCAACATTGGGAGCAAGAGGGGTGGGTACACATTTACTTTGCTCAAGATTTCTCTGTGTATTTAAGATCTTTTGTGGCTGGATAACATTTCTATTTTGGTCAAAGGTGATACCGGAATTTTGATAGGGGTTGTATTGAATTTAGACTGATTTTGGTGGCATGGACATTTGAACAATATTGACACTTTCTGTCCATGAACATAGGGGACCTTATCATCTATTTGGGTCATATTATTTCCATTAATATTCTTCTAGTTTTGTCACTCATATTTTTCACTTCTTTGGTTAAATTTATTGTTAAATATTTTTGATGATATTGTAAAATAATTTCATGTCATAGAGAAATTCTGCTAGTTCTGTGTGTTTTGCATCTTGTGGCTTCATTACATTTTAAAATCAGTTCCTTTGGGGTGTGTGAAATACTTAAAAGTTTTCTATAAAGGAGATTGTGTTACCATAAAACCAGAGACAATTCCCTTGGTATGGTCATGAGTCTTTAAGATGAAGAATGAGGAGACCATGTATGTACAAACTCCCTATGGTAGGAAAGACAACGGCACATCTGAAAAAGAGAAAGAAGGCCCACTCTACTGGAGGGAAAAACACAAGTTCACAAGAAACTATTTCGAAGAATAGAGACAGATTAGATACCTGATCAAAAAAGGCCATATTGAAAATAATTCTGGCTTTGGTACACCAGTGACAGAACTCTATAGAAAGGTTACAGAGAGGAGGGTCCCAGGGAGCCTTCTTGGCTGTGAGACACAGACTGTGGAGGACTTAAGTGACTGCTCTTCCTTAATCAGGGTTTCAATTTTCCATGCTTCTAGCCACACAATGTTAGCCAAGGTCCAAAGATTTTACATTTGAAAGCTCCAGAAACATTCTACTCATGTGTTCTAAACTGCACATTGTTCAATGTGGTGTGGAAAAATCTCATACTGGACTCTTCTACCCCACTGCCCAGCGTACGCACACTGTGTAACGCTACCTCCCATCAGTCGCCTAGACCCCATCTTTTCCACCAGAATTCGATGATCACAATATAGCAACTCTTGTGTTTAAACGACCGGTATTTTTATTTAATGGCTGCAAAGTGCAAAAGCAGTGACATTGTCACATACTGGCCACTAGAGGGCGGGAGTGGCCACATTAGATTAGAAAAAAAATCTTAACATCTTTTCTCTGAAAGCCTCGCAAGCTTACTTCTCAGATGCTGAGGTGGGAAAGGGGAGTAGTAAGAAGGATGAAAACAGGTTGGCTCGGCTGTAGAGCCTGAAGAGGGATGATCACAGGGTCAGAAGCTTTGCATCAAAGTGGCAGGAGCTTTGTGGAGTAAGGAGAGTCATCCCACAGTCCAGGGAAGAGAGCAGGTATCTCTGCGCAGAGGTGTCAGGGAAACTTGGGTTCATTTCCTT